CAGCAGCTAGTTAGCTGCGGTTAGCCGTTACTTTAGCTACAAGTAACACTTTCTGTTCTTCAGCAACGTCCAGAAATCTCTCAGAGTTGAGGCAGAGCAGCCGGGGGACTTTAATGTTAACTTCATGATGCCCAACAGTTACAGTGTTGCCTTTGTAGACAGCGGCGGACGCAGGCAGTGAGGCAGCTGACTTGCCATGTTGCCAGAGGAGCTGTCAACTGCGTGTATGAGCCACAGAACTAAACTTATAGAAACTCTGAAAAGGCTGGTCGTGGAGACCTTTTAATCGTCCAAGATCTAATATTGTAAAATCGCCCAGCCCTAATTCATGTGTCAACAAATCTGGCATTTGAGATGATCAGTGTCAGCCTGATTGATCGGCAGACTGATTTAATCAATCTATAGTTTGCAGATAGTTTTTCTCTTTTTAGAATTTATTGGGATTTTAATATCCCAAGCTGTGCCACTTAGGTCACTGTCCACCATCATTGTTTTGGGACAACATTAATGCCAAATGGGATGTCATCATTATGGGTAGTGTCTTGACCTTTTTATATTCACATCTTTTCCTGACAGCTGGCAAACACAGAAGAGTATGTGGATGGAGCATTGGCAGGTCATCTTGGTGAAGTGCTTATCAGGTATGTTGTAAACCTAAAATGTAATTTCCTCTTTTTTCCATAACAAGTTCAGTAGAGGCTTCTTATTGAATTACTTTGGTGTACATTTAGTTGAAAAAGGTTATCTAAAATAAGATCAAGGGACTTTGCCAGGAAAGCATCACACAAATAAGTTTAGATATGTAGCAGCAATGAAATCTGGCTCAGGAAAGCAGAATCTGATTAAAATCTGAGCAGTTTTATTTGCTAAACAACAATGCAGAGTTGTTTTTATGGCTTTAAGATTCCAACTGCCTAGTTTAACTTGTATTAATAGTTAGCATGGCACTTTTCAAAGATGACAGTGGCAGGGGAGCACTACATGATCTACCCGTTGTTCTTTTTCCCTGCTGCCAGTTGCAACAGTACTGTGTGCTAACAGGTTTATTTCATACACACAGGTGCAATAATGTTTTGTACATCAGAGGTGTAGAAGAAGAAGAGGAGGACGGAGAAATGAGGGAGTGATGTTGGTGAAGAAGATTCCGCCTGTTTTGTCTGAGTGTGATTTGTACCTCGTAGTTGAGTCGATGTGTTTTCACCATGTGAAACAAATGAACGATTGGGTTTGTGGTTATTTTTCAAGCAGTTTTTCTTTTTTTTTTCCAATTTCTTTCAATTGTTTTTTTTTTTTACTGTATGTGAGGCCAATTTTATGTTGTGACGTTGTGATACAGACACAATAAATGAATATACCCTTTCTTAAAACCTGATTGTTGTGGTTTATGCATGTGATATCTAACAAAACAAACATATTTCTCTTTAATTATTACTTAACACTGCAACTACAGAGATCTCTGATGTCTGTGGCAGAAGCACCTCCCCTCTGTGTGCACTTTAAACTCTGCTCTCCTTGACAAATATTTGCCTGTTCCCAAACTAGCTTAAAGCCAGTCAGTCTGAAGTAAGTGTCTCTGCCTTGGATGAATCAAAATGTCTAGTAATTACAGCCTATTGGTGAAGAATGCCAAACAGTTGGTTCTGATCTGCAACAATGGAGAGAAGTACTTGACCAAACATGGGATGCAAAATCTTTGTGTTATTGAAAATGGCAGTGTAGTGATCGGGAGGTAAGTTTTCTAAACCACAATTTAAGAGAGAGACCTGGGAGTACTTTATACTATGAGAGAAGCATGATTTGAACAGTGAGGTTACTGGTAGTTACCAGGCCAAATAACTTTGTTGTTGAAGAAATGTTGCGCAGATAACTAGTTCTCACCTATGTAGCTGCACAAGCAATATCTGCAAAGCTTGATCTGAAGGTTGTGAAGGTTTTATGTATATATTGTGCATGCTAAAGGATTGTATTTACTGCAGTACAGGAGTCATGTGAAACAATGCACAATGGTGGCCCCTACAGGTTGTAGTGACTCATTACACCCTGACACAAATAACTGGATGGATGAAAACTTGACATTGGTATTGATTTTATTAATGGCACAATTTCCTAAGCAGTTGGGCATTTACATTTAATATTAAATTAATTACCTTAAATACTTGTTTTAAATATTTGCAGCGGTTGAAAAAGTACTTAAATCATTTTACTTAGTTAAAAGTTCTACCACATTGTGAAAATACTCCACTTCAAGTAAAGTCCTGCATTCAAAATCTTTAGTAAAAGTAAGTATTAGCAGAAGAATGAAAAGTAAAAGTACTAATTGTGCAGTTAAATGTTTGCTGTCAGTGTTTCACTATTATATCTGATGATTTTGTTGCATTTTACTGATCGAGAGATTTAAGGCAACTTAAATATGGCAAGTTTTGTGGCAATGCATTTTGCAGCTAATGGTTTTTCAACCAGTGATTTTTTTTATTATTAAGAAGTAATAATTCTCAAATCCCATGAAGGAACACTTAATCTTTCAGTTTAGCAGGAAAAATTTAAAACCACCAAATACAGAGAGATACATGGTTTAGACTGGACAGGAAGGGTATAAAAAAACGAATATATTAAAAATCTGAAGCTGTCAGACAAATGTAGAAAAGTAAAAAGTACAATATTAGCCTCTGAGAAGTAGTGGAGTGGAGGTTTTAAGTTGCATAAAATAGAAATACTTTAGTAAATTACCTCAGATTTCTACAGTATTTTTCAAAAATTATTCTCTTTATTAATAAGATATATATCATATTTACTTACCACTAGTGGGGCAACAAATGTAAAGTTTGGCATGATGGTGGTTCTAGATGAAATTCCATGTTGTGACAAAGGTTTGTCTGTACGGTGGCCATTTTAGAACATCTCAGGCTCAGCTTTCATTAGTCTAAGCTGGACTTCCAAGTGAATGTTGACATGAAAGTAACTAATTTCTTTGCGACAACAGCGATGGGCTGATTAAGGCTGTGGGACCTGCTGAACTCATCAGAGCACAGTATTCAGAAGAGTCATTTAACAAAGTAATTGATGCTACAGGAATGTGTGTCCTGCCCGGTGAGTATCACCTGTGGTTTATGTTTTTTGCACATCTGCTCAACAGCAGCCTACATGGACTGTCAATACAATCACAAAATACCAGTGATTAGCATTTCAAGAAACGTGTTGTTTCAGGGTTGGTTGACGCCCACACCCATCCAGTCTGGGCTGGAGACAGGGTGCATGAATTTGCAATGAAGGTAAATCGTGTTTTCACCATTTTTTAAACCTTAGCTTCACAACTGCAGCTAAGATTTCAATGAAATGCATGGTAATCTTGCAGCTGGCAGGTGCCACCTACATGGACGTCCACCGGGCCGGTGGAGGGATCCACTTCACGGTGGAGCACACTCGAGCCGCGAGGTCTTTTGAGCTGCTGGCCTCCCTCTGCAGCCGGTTGGTCCGGATGCAGCGGGCTGGTACTACCCTGGTGGAGTGTAAGAGCGGATATGGCCTGGAACTGCAGACTGAGCTGAAGATGCTGGAAGTGATCGAGCAGGCCAGACAGAGCTTGCCCATCAACATCTCCTCAACCTACTGTGGAGCCCATGCAGTGCCCAAGTAAGGACCATCCTCAAACTTCTCTAATTTCACATCACATCTTGAAAAATAGATCTTTACCATCCTTTTTATTCAGGGGGAAGACAGTTGCAGAAGCCACAGAGGACATCCTGCAGGTTCAGCTGCCACGGCTGAAAGAACAGATGTCTGCTGGGACTCTCAGAGTCGACAACATAGACGTGTTCTGTGAGCAGGGAGTGTTTGACCTCAACTCTACTCGCTCCATCCTGCAGGCTGGCAAAGACATGGGCCTCAACATCAACTTCCACGGAGATGAGCTTCATCCTATGAACTCTGCTCAGGTATCACTTACCCCTGAAGCTGTATTTATTGTGTTTTTGGCCACTTGGGGGACACGAGCTTAAAAATATCTGTCTCTGATGTATTCTGTTTCTAATATTTTGTCCACCCTATTTATATCAGTGAGGGTAGACAAATTTTTTTTTTTTTATTTAGACCAGCTACAGCCTCCAAAATGACCTTATATTAGCATAAACATCTCTTTAAAACAGTTTTGACAAAAACTGGAAACTACATTTTAACCTTAAAACAGTTAAATTGATGAAGCAAAACCAGTTTTGTATTTTTTATTTATTCCACACATTCTTCTTCATTGTCAAAATGTTGTGCCTACATTACCAACAATTAACCTCAGTGAGTATGTGTGTGTCAGCTGGGTGCAGAGCTCGGAGCCTTAGCCATCAGTCACCTGGAGGAGGTCACAGACGAGGGGATCGCTGCCATGGCAGCAGCAAGAACTGCTGCAGTCCTTCTGCCAACCACAGCGTATATTCTACGGTATTGTGTACATTTACTCAAGTACTGACCTACTTAGGTAAACGTCTGAGGTAGATGTACTTTACTTGTGTACTTTTACTGCTACTCCACTACAATTATAAAGCTTAAGTTACTAGTTAGGATACTTTACAAATACATTTTTAGCAAAACCCATAGAGCATATAAAATATGATGCTTTGTTATAAATTAAAACACCAAACAGTTAGTTAGTTACAAAAGTAGAGCTGGAGCTATCAATTAAACAAGTCAATTGACAAAAGGATTTGGCAACTTTGGCTATTAAACATTTGAGTTTATTATTTTGGAAACTTGGTTGTGCCGAAGTGTCCAGTCTGTGCTGGGAATGCAAGTATATCCTGTGTATGAAGAAGAGCACATGTTAGGTAAACCTGCCACGTGTTGAATGTAGATACGTTTCCCATGTCTTATTACAGATTACACCACACAACTAGTTTGATAATTGATAAAAAACATTTCATGGTTCCAGCTTGCCAAAAGGGTGTATTTGCTGTTTACCCTTTTGATTATTTTAATAATCTTCATTTATTTTTAAACAATTTTGGGCTCTGGGAAATTGTGATTCTCACTATTTTTTTTTTCAAACTAAACAATCAGTTAATTGAAAAAAATGAAATAATCATTTGTTGCAGTCTGATACAAAATAGTATAAAATTAGTTCCAACTAACTACAATGCTTTTACATTAATTATGTATCATAATAGAAATTTAATGATATATAATATCACGTGACATTTTTCTGCAAAAGTACATAATACTTTTTTTTAAAAACCAAGTATATTTTCCTGATTAAAATTATGTACTTTTCTTAAGATTTAAAATGTAGGACTTTTATTTGTAATGGAGTATTTTCACAGTGTGGTATTAGCACTTTTGTTCAAGTCAATTTACTTAAGTGAATACTTCCTCCACCATTGTTTAACAATGTTTTTAATGTAGGCCTATTTATAGTGTATTGTATGTACTTGGTACATTTTATTTCTGTGTGTGCATCTTTTGTGTAATTGTGGTGTTTATTCTGATCCTTGTATGTTTTATCTTGTGCCCTGACTGCAAGTCAAGTTTCCCACTGTCTGATAATCTGTGTGTGTGTTCAGGCTGCCCCAGCCTCGGGCCAGAGACATGTTGGAAGCTGGAGTTATTGTTGCCCTCGGCAGTGATTTCAACCCCAATGCCTACTGCTGCTCCATGGTGAGTGCAACAGGACAGGTGTGAGGTGGAAGGGTGAAAAGCAGAGGAGTGGTGCATGATGGTAACAACTCATACTTTCTATCCTCTTTATATTTGTGCTGTCCTCTCTGTCTTCCTCAGCCGATAGTCATGCACCTGGCCTGTGTCAATATGAGGATGTCCATGTCGGAGGCTTTGGCTGCAGCCACCATCAATGCAGCCTACGCCCTTCGGTGCTCCCACACACATGGTTCCCTGGAGGTCAACAAACATGGAGACCTGCTGATCCTCAACACCACACGGTAAATCAGGACAGAAAAAGTAGTCACGATTGACATCCACAGAAAATAATTTATTTTTTGTCCCATGTGCAATGGTGGAAGAAGTATTCAGATCCTTTGCTTAAGTAAAAGTACTAACCACACTGTGAAAATATTCCACTACAAGTCAAACTACTGCAGCCTGTTGCACAATCTCTTTGTAAATTCAAACTAGTTAAAATGTAAATTAGTTTGTTGTGATTTATGCATTACTAAAATAAAAATTATGCATTACTAAAAAGCAGTTGCACCACAGAGATAAGTTACAACAAAACTCTAAGTAACAAGCAAATACGTACTCATGCCCCAGGGTAGGTGTAAATCATAATATGCCACAGAATTATACTCACTAATAGTAAAACATCTGTTTTTCTGGCCCACATCATCATTTTTCATAAATTGCATGCCGTTTTGCACCACAGTAATCCAGTAGATACCTTATTTATTGATATATTTCAATATTGATCTAGCTCACTCTACAGTGAGCTACGATACCAAGTGGCAAAGGCCTGCCAGAAAACTAATGGGCATGGTAACCATGACAAGAGAACAGTGATCGTTGATTGGCCACTTGCCTTAGTTACAACTTTATGTTGACACTAGTTAGGTTCTGCCCCAAGTAACCTTGCTGCAAGCAATTTTAGTAGCGGATATAGTTTCAAACTTACTAGTATTTACTAATAAGTCTCTAGTGTTACTTAGGACAGAACTTACACATGGCTGGTGCAACCCAGTGCTGCATTCAAAACCTTAAGTAAAAGTATATTGTATGATAGTATTATTGGCTAAGTTTACTAAAAGTATCAAAAGTAAAAGTACTTATTCTGCAGGAAAATGGCAACTATATACTGTTGAGTAGTTTAATCTATAGCAATGCATCATATTCTTTAAGTCATCATCTCTTAAAAAAAAAAAAAAAAAACCCCAGCTGTTTTCAGGTTTGCTGCAATGCATGTTGTCGGTTCATGGTAAAAAGAATCAGAAGGTATATCAAATCTGGCTTTACTGCCAGAGATACAAACAAGTCAACCAACAAGGATCCTCTTTCATGAAAGGTTATAGCTAATATGGTGACAGTGTCATTATTATTTGGTATTTTAGAAATTTATTTTTTGTTTTCATACCTCTGAGCGAAATATTGTCCCTCATGCCAGAATTCAAGCTAGAATTTTATGCCTCAAATACCTCAGACTAAAGTGAACATCACTAATCATTAATTAGATCTAATAAATCAAGAGAACAGCAGATCTAGCAGAGCCTTATCTATTAAGAGCCATGTATCTAAGACAGTCTGTGAAACCCCAAAGTTCATTTATTATTACACTGCTGCCGGCATCCTGTACAAAACTCTAGCTTTGTATACTAATTGGGCATTTGCAGGATTTTTGTATCCATTACTTTAGCATACAGGTTGAGTAAGAACATAGTCTTAGTGATAATAGTAAGAGTGAATAAGATGTTTGATAAGATCACAAAATGCTATATGCAAATTTCACCTTATATAAGTAACGCTAAATCAACTGATTTAACCTTTACTTCTAACTAAAATAAAGTTTAAAAAGAAGTTTAACTATTTATATTAATGTATTAATTAGAACTTAGTATGCTTTTTGTTGTCATTACAACAGCATCAGCTTGTATAGAGGTTTTATTCTTACAAACTAGTATGGCACACGTTAAGTATTTACTGTTTTTGTATGTGTGTAAAACTGATCCTCTGTTTTTTTTGTGTAGATGGGAGCATCTGATCTATCAGCTGGGAGGACATCAGGAGCTAATCCGTTATGTTGTCATCAAAGGCAACGTCGTCTTTGATAATGACAGAACCATGGATTTATAATCAGAAAATAATCTGCTGACTGATTCAGATAAGTAAAGGTACTATTAATAATACTGATCAGATAACGACATATATTCAGCTGTGATTTTAAAGGAATACTGTGTCAGGAAAGCAGTAGCTGTGCTGTCTAAGTCCTGGAGTCTGCGCTGGTTTCACCAATTCCAGTATTTATGCTAAGCTAAATGGCAGCTGGCTGTTTATATTTAACCCATTGGAAACATGTTAACTGTTGATTAAAACCTGTCTCTCTATTCATGTATCTGTTTCTGTAATGTAGAGCACACACACGTTCTGTCAGTAAAAAGCATTTTAAGTTATCAGTTATTCTATGACTTCAGCAAGCAGAGGAATTTCATTATTACCTAAGACACAGGTAAAATATTTGCACCTCAAGTGATCAAAGAGTTAATTGATTTACCCTTGTTGACATTTGAAATGACCAGATGCTCACCCTGTTTTTATCTGTATAATCAAAGAGCTGGGGTTTGACAATCAGAGAGAAGGCAGATACCAAAAATGAAGAGTGGAAGAAAACAAAAGTCACGAGTCAGTAATTATCACAACACCTGAATCAAAACACTACCACAAATTATTCTAACTTTTATAAAGAGTGCTTTTATTGAACATGTTAGTACACAATGCTTTTAATAAAAATCTAAATGGATCCATACATTATATTTTGATAATTATTGCTTTCAACAACCAAACAAAACTATTCTCAATTTTTTCTCTCTGCTCTGATTACCAGAGGCCAATCCTCATCACAAATTATAATGTGATTTTAAAAAGCAAAACAAAGGAAAACTAGTTCAATTGCTATTCACAACAATAAATGGTGGATAGATGAAAATGTGAGATAAAAGACTGCAGTGTAACACAATAACTGGCTTATTTTTACTATAAACAAAAGGTGAGGGGTAACACATATGGCCGACTGATATTTTATGTAACCAATTTTGACAGTATGACCCCGTTAATCCCATCAGGCTTCATACTTCTTCCCTGCTCGGTGGATCTGTTGGTAAAGCGTCATTGAGAAAGCCATACCAAGGAGCTGGGAAAACGACAATAAACCCATATTAAAAACAAATGAACTAGTGCTGTTTAAGACTTTGTGTAAGTGCTACATAAAGAGTAGCTTACCTGTATGACCAGCACACACATGGCGATGGTTCCCAGAAGATGTTTGTTGTCATCCAGCCACTCCTCTACCTTATCATAGCAGCCCTGAAAACACCGTAATTAGGAAGGGAGAAAAAAGTACTGAATATCAGAAGGTATTCAACTCTTGCTTTCATTGTTTCACTATAGAGTTTACAAAACTACATTTTTCTGCTTATGTTTAGTCTAACCATTTGAAATCCGCATAGACTTAAGGTCTTGTTTAACACCAAATAACAAAACACAGACTCACACTGATGTTTCATGACTTGTTTGTTTTTTAATCTTGTGGTGTCTTTTTAGTTTCACAGACACTGACTGTCGTAAATGCACACCAGGTGAAAAGATGTTGGTTCTGACACAAACTTCACCAATAAAAAACAAACAATAACTGCACCCTCACCTCTGGTGATATATTCCCACTCTTTAAACCATCAGTAGTCTTTGTCTTGCAGTGACAAAGACTTCTGTTGGTCTAAAGGGCAGTTACAAATAATTCAAGCTCCTTGTTCAAAAGGAACCATTTCACATTTTGGAAATCTTAGCTTATTGGCTCTCTTGGTGAGAGTTGGATGAGAAAATCAATACCACTCGTGTCCATAGAGTAAGTTTTAATCTACAGCCAGCAGCCTGTTTAGCTCAGCATAAAGGCTGGATAGAGCTACCCTGGGTCTGTCTATAGGGGGAAAAAATCCCCCTATAGGCACCCATAAAGGTCACTTAGAGGTGCTAGTAGGCCGACAGTCAGTGAGTCTACCTGTTTCCCCCCACTTCCAGTCTTTGTTTTATGCAAGGCTAAGCTAATCAGATAATCTCCTGCTGACTGTAGCTTCATATACAGCATACAAACAGGATAGTGGTATCAACAGAAAGCAAATAATCATATTTCCCAAAATGCTGAGCTATTCCTTTAGAGTTAATAGAACTAAACAGAGTAGAACTTTAATACCAATTTTAAGACTTTATAACCACACAAACTGACCCGCGTCCAGAACGTATTGGAGGCGTTGCGTCCACAGCCCTGGTAAAACTGCTGGCAGCAGCGGTCAGGAACCACGTTGTCATGCAGGGCAGTGTACCAGTCATTGTGGTTGTTGACTCCACAACATTGCCACTAGTGCACGGGCAGGAAAGAAGGAAAACAGTAATTTTATATAACTGCATAACAAACACAATTTAACTCTGAGGTTATAAAATGCATTACAGGGTGATAATAAAGTTAAAGTTGGATTATAAAATGAAATGGCAAGAAATAACTTTAAAATATATACATATAAAACAAGCAGAGGACTTGTTTTGCTATCTTAAATTAAATTAAATTTTACATCCATATTTCTCTGTACTTTTTCAAGCCTTTAAAGGGACTTTCCTTTCATGTGTAATATACCTCTCCCTGTATGGTGTTCCATGCATCCCTCAGCCCGGCGTTGTTATCTGTGTTGTATAGCACCAACCCTTCTTTCAGGTCCTGTCTGGCATTTTCACTCACCTGGGCAAACAGGGGTAAAGAGGTGGATTATGGGATATATAGGCACACACTCACAGCAGGAGAGGACCATTAATAAGCGAGTCTTACCTTGTCAGTGTAGACAAAGAACAGGATGAGGAGGATAAGTTCGGCCAAGAGGATGATCAACAGAACAATGAAAAACTGAAGAAAATCGTTGGACAAAGAAGAAAAGTGTCAGATAAAGCTTCAACATGAGAGCGAACATGCATGATACACTAAACTCAAATTTGTGTCGATGCAAAACATTGTAAATATGAGCTCCCTGGTTAAAATTATACTTCATCTGAGCATTTAGAAGTAAATTGCGAAAATTAAACATGAAGTTTGGCAGTGGATCTTGACTTTTGTCTTATTACCAGTACAATAATACCTGTAGCAAAGTTTCACAATATAATGTTGCAATGTTTAAATGTCACACTCCTCCTAAGTCACGCTGCTCAAACATTAAAAATTCCAACACAACATGACTAAAGAATACTCAAACTAAAACTGATAAAATAAAAACAGTGATGGATGATGGGTAGTATACTCACACTCAGCAGCAGGCACTTGTTCTCTTTGATGGCTCCAAGGCAACCCAGGAAACCAGTCACCATGATGACGCTGCCGAGGGTGATGATGAGGTTGGCGGCGGAGATCGACGGGAAGGAGGGCGACAGGGTGGCAAAGCTGCCCTGAGACACCGACAGCCACACGCCGACGCCCAGCAATCCACACCCACCCAGCTGAAACACAAACAGGAAACTTAGAAACTTCCTGCTGATTAATTGATAACGAAACCCTTTAATGCGTTTGCTGATCTTCCTGCAGATTTACGGTCACAGCTAAAGAACATTTTCTCACTCAGTGTGTGTGGAATAATTACCCAGAAGATCAGGTTGAAGAGGAAGAGCATGTATTTAACGCAGCAGATGCAACCACGAGCCATGATTGAATCGACAGACACTGCAAGAAAACGATTTAAAGAGAAAACATGAAAAGACATTCAAGTTTAATGAAAGGTCTCTTACACTGGCCATATGTTTAAAGGGTAATTTCTGTATTTTTAAATCTAGGGGCTGGGTGATACAGCCAAAAATGTTGTCATGATAATAAATTTCACATTGTTTGATAATAATAATTATCACAATAAAAGGTCAAATCATTATTTCTTTCAGGTGTAAAGGCTGATTTTTGCTCCTGAGTAAAAGTTGAAGAAACAAAATGGTTAATACTGGTTTTAAACTTTTCTTTATGGTCAGAATATGACACTCCATAACAGTGGATGCCAAACAGTGAATCACTTCACAAATCTGAAGTAGAACATTCAAAACAATTATGATAAAATCTCTTTTCAACAAAAATGCACAAGAAAAATTAAGTAAAATCTTTTGCTGAACATGTGAGTAAGAGTTGGAGAGAGGAGTTTGCTGAGTAACGACAAGTCTTTCTAGTAGTTCCTCTATGTACACAAAAAACTCCTCTCCCACTCATGAACAACATGAGATATACTGTATACGCTGTATATACAGACATGTATACATGCATATACTGTACATAACCACTTCTTGTATTCATGTCAATATTTATTAATTTGCACTATTTTATTGGTTTACAATTTACAGAAACACTTGACTTTGGATGTTGTTGGTCATTGTTGCTTTTTATATTCATTTATACAAGGATTTGTATGTACATATAAGTTGTTTGTTTATTTTTACCTTTGGCTTTGGTGACCTTTGTTTTTAGCTATATACCTTTTTCTATCTTCCTATAAATTGTTCTTTTCCCAACACTGTGTGCAACATTAAAACCAAGTCAAATTCCTTTTATGTGCACACATACTTGGCCAATAAAGCTGATTCTGAGTCTATTTTTGTCTTTAGTCAAACATCAGCATTGTGCAGAGATAAAACAATTAATGAAAGCTACATTGAAGGCTACAAATATGAACTGTTATATAAAATCATGTCACAATAACTGGCTAGAAGTTAGTTTTTTTTGTGAAAGTGAAAAGGCATAAATGAATGCTGCTTTTGCAACATCTTTCATTTATTTCAGGTTGTTTGTGTCACCATGACCACAAACAAAACACCAGTTCACTAATCTTTTTGTTTCCTGTTACATCACACTAACAGTAAACATTTTTGTTCTCCCTGGAGAGTCATGCTGAAAACCACATCTCAGCAAGAAGGAGATCAAACTTACCACTTCAACTAGCAGGGGAACGGAGGAGCTCTAGTGGTGTACCTGTGACACACAAGTGAAAAACATTTTAACTGTACTGTATATTGTACACAGACTATCTCTGAAAGTGGTGCTTTAGGCCTAAAAAACAAAACTCAACTTTTATTCACCATGATCATGCAAAACAGGACTGGGAAGTGATATTACCCACAAATGTGCAGAACATGCTTTAAATGTAAGCAGCCACGCACTGCACAATCTAATTTTAAGTTTCTTGATTCTGACAGTTATGTTGGTAAACGCAGAAGTGAGGTTATTTTTTAGTCAGAAATTAATCTAATGATTGTTTTTTTTTTGATTTAGTGATTAATTGTTTAGTTGAAAAATAGATAACCATGTCAGTCATTATTCTCCAGAGCTTGTTTTATCCAACACATACACGCAAACACATTTATTTTACAATTATTAAAACAGAGTAAC